ATTTATAAGGAAATTGTTGGATGACTTCAAAAAAGATATAGATAGCAACACACTGATAGTAGGGGATTTCAACACCCCACTGTCAAAAATGGACAGATCTTCCAAACAAAACATTAATAAACATATCGTGGCGCTGAATGAAACACTGAATCAAAGAGACTTAACTGACATATATAGAATCTTACATCCCAAAGAAGAAAAATACACATTCTTTTCAAATGCTCATGGCAGTTTTTCAAAGATAGACCACATGATAGGACACAAAGCAAGCCTCAGTAAATTCAGGAAAATTGAAATAATACCAAACTTTTTCTCAGACCACAAGGCCTTGAAACTCGAAATCAAACTCAAAGAGAAACTTCAAAAACTTGGAAACTCATGGAGACTGAACAGTACACTATTAAACAATGAATGGGTCAATAATGAGATAAGAGAAGAAATCAAAAAATTTCTGGAAACAAATGAAAATGGACAGACAACTGTCCAAAACCTATGGGACACAGCAAAGGCGGTCCTGAGAGGGAAGTTCATAGCAATACAAGCTTACCTTAAAAAGATAGAAACATTTCAAATAAAAGACCTAACACTACAACTTCAAGAACTGGAGAAACAACAACAAATAAATCCCAGAGCAAGTAGAAGGAAGGAAATAGTCAAGATTAGAGCAGAACTGAATGACATAGAGACAAAAAGAACAATTCAAAGGATCAACCAATCCAGAAGCTGGTTCTTTGAAAAGATTCATAAAGTGGACAAACCTTTAAGCAGACTCATCAAGAAAAAAAGGGAGAGGACCCAAATTAATATCAGAAATGAAAGAGGAGAAATAACAACTGATACCACAGAAATACAAATGATTATCAGAAACTATTATGAACAATTATATGCCAAGAAATTTGAAAATCTTGATGAAATGGACAAATTTTTAGAAAAGTATAATCTTCCAACACTGAAGGAGGAAGAAACAGAAAGCTTGAACAGACCGATAACAGTTGTGGAAATTGAAGCAGTAATCAAGAAACTCCCAGCACACAAAAGCCCAGGGCCAGACGGTTTCCCAGGAGAATTTTACAAAACATTTAAGGAAGAGCTAACCCCTGTCCTTCTCAGACTATTCCAAAAAATCCAAGAGGAGGGAAGACTGCCAGACTCCTTCTATGAGGCCAGCATCACCCTGATCCCAAAACCAGATAAAGACCCTACAAAGAAAGAAAACTACAGGCCAATTTCGCTGATGAACATAGATGCTAAAATCCTCAACAAAATATTGGCAAACCGCATCCAGCAATACATTCAAAAGATTATCCATCACGATCAAGTGGGATTCATCCCAGGGATGCAGGGATGGTTCAATATACACAAATCAGTAAACGTGATACACCACATAAATCAAAGAAAAGACAAAAACCACATGATCATCTCGATAGATGCAGAAAAAGCATTTGACAAGGTACAGCACCCATTTATGATCAAAACACTCAGCAAAATGGGAATAAATGGGGCATTCCTCAACGTAATAAAGGCCATATATGAAAAACCTACAGCCAATATCATACTCAACGGGCAAAAACTGAAAGCTTTCCCACTAAGATCGGGAACACGACAAGGATGTCCGCTCTCATCGCTTCTTTTCAACATCGTATTGGAAGTCCTAGCCACAGCGGTCAGACAAGAGAAAGAGATAAAAGGCATCCAAATAGGAAAGGAGGAAGTAAAACTATCATTGTTTGCAGATGACATGATAGTGTACATAGAGAACCCTGTAGACTCTACCAAAAAACTCCTCAACCTAATAAGTGAATTTGGCAAAACAGCAGGATACAAAGTCAACATTCAGAAATCAAAGGCGTTTTTGTACACCAGCAATGCAATAGAAGAAGAAGAAATCAGGAAAAATATACCATTCGATATAGCATGAAAAAAGATAAAGTACCTAGGGATAAATTTAACCAAAGACGCAAAAGACCTGTATGCAGAAAACTATGCAACATTGAAAAAAGAAATTAAGGAAGACACAAATAAATGGAAGCATATACCGTGCACATGGATTGGAAGAATTAATATCCTTAAAATGTCCATACTACCAAAAGCAATTTATAGATTCAACGCAATCCCTATTAAGATACCAATGACGTATTTCACAGAAATAGAACAGACATTTCAAAAATTTATATGGAACCATAAACGACCTCGAATAGCCGCAGCAATTTTGAGAAAGAAACACAAAGTAGGAGGGATCACAATACCGGACATCAAACTCTACTACAAAGCCACTATACTCAAAACAATCTGGTACTGGCACAAGAACAGACCCATAGACCAGTGGAACAGAATAGAAAGCCCAGAAATAAGCCCAGGTCTCTATGGACATCTAATATTCGACAAAGGGGGCAGAAGCATAAAATGGAGCAATAACAGCCTCTTCAACAAATGGTGTTGGGAGAGCTGGATGGCTACATGCAAAAAATTGAAATTGGATGATCAGCTGACACCATACACAAAAATAAACTCAAGATGGATAAAAGACTTAAATATAAGTCGCAACACCATCAAAGTCCTAGAGGAGAACATTGGCAGGAAACTCTCAGATGTCCCACGCAGCAATTTTTTCACTGATATGTCTCCTAAAGCAAGGGACATAAAGGAAAGAATAAACAAGTGGGACCTCATCAAAATAAGAAGCTTCTGCACGGCTAAAGAAAACATCAGCAAAATGAAAAGGGAGCCAACCATTTGGGAAAATATATTTGCTAATGATACATCAGATAGAGGTTTGATCTCCAAGATATACAAAGAACTCACTCGACTTTACTCCAAGAAGACAAACGATCCAATCAAAAAATGGGCAAAGGACCTGGGCAGATGCTTTTCTAAGGAGGAGATACAGAGGGCCCAGAGGCATTTGAAAGGATGCTCTGCATCACTAGCCATCAGAGAAATGCAGATCAAAACCACCATGAGGTACCACCTCACACCGGTCAGAATGGCCATCATAAACAGATCCACAAACAACAGGTGCTGGCAAGGCTGTGGAGAAAAGGGAACCCTAGTCCACTGTTGGTGGGAATGCAGACTGGTGCAGCCATTGTGGAAAGCAGTGTGGAATTTCCTCAAAAAGCTGAAAATGGAACTGCCTTTTGATCCAGTGATTCCCCTGCTGGGACTATACCCTGAGAACACCAAAACGCCAATACAAAAGAACCTATGCACCCCAATGTTCATAGCAGCACAATTTACAATAGCCAAGTGTTGGAAGCAACCTAAATGCCCATCAGTAGATGACTGGATCAAAAAATTATGGTACATATACACAATGGAATACTACGCAGCAGAAAGAAAAAAGAAGTACTAAACTTTGCGACAGCATGGATGGAACTGGAGAGCATCATGCTAAGCGAAATAAGCCAGGGGGCGAAAGACAAATACCATATGATCTCACCTATAAGCGGAACCTAACCAACAATGCAAAGAAGCAAGGAAAATACGACCAGCAACACTGAAAGGAAAAGAAATCAACAGAGACAAGAGGGAAGGTGGGGGGCAGGGAAAGGGAAGGGAAGGGGAAAGTCAAGGAACATATAGCAAGGACTCATGGACAAAACCAAAGGGGAAGAGCTGAGGGAGGGAAGGTGGGAGGGGGCAAGGGAAAGAGGTGGGGGGAAGGCAGAGACAAATGTATTTAAAAAGTAAATAAATTAATTAAAAAAAAAAAAAAAAGAATGTTGCTTGCTACCTTGAAAAAAATGCTTTCACTTTAAGTGGACATTTCCCTGTACAAATAGCCAGTAAGTTCATCACTGTAATGAATCTTCCTGTTTCCTCTCTTCCATTTCAAAATCATATAACCTTGAGATTTGGTCTGTTCTCTTTTAATGTAAATACCCTAAAGGCAAAAGAGCTTCTTTGGTCAAAAGAAGCCACCTTGGACATTTACCCACCAATCTGGTATTATGCTTAATCATTAGTTTACATCTTCTATCTCAAATCATAAATTCAACACTATTCTTTCACAAGATTACATTTAGGCTGAAAACAGTGGTTACATATGTTCACAAAATTAAATAGATATTAGTGAGAGATCCAAGAAATTTTATGTATATGAACCCTAGTTTTATATTGTTTTTATTGGTGGTAGTTTCCTTAACTATTTTTTAAAGCCTATGATTATTCCTGAAATCTTCATTGCCCACTGATAACAATAAAAGTTTTCTTCTAAGGTCTGTCAAACAAAAAGGTGTGTTTAAAAATCTTAAGAATTTTAGAGTCTAGATTTGAAATTCAGTGTGCTAAAATAGTGACCCTAGTAATCTTTTCTTATGATATTTTTGCCACATTGCTAGGAAAAATAAGGAGAAAAATATACAACAACCCCCCAAGTAACAAGCTACTTGTGTTTTTACCCATTTCTTTGAGACCTCAAAGACTAAAGTCTCTCTGTCACATGTATCATGACTATAATTAGACGCTTATCCACAACAGCAAAATCATTTAAGACCATTAAAAAGGGAATGTATTAGATTTATAGCCTGTGTTTACTCTCAACCCATTCATTTTATTCTGATTTACATGAATTATGTAATGAAGAGATAATGGAAAAATGACTCATTAGTAAATATATTGATTTTCCAATCTATATACAATGGCTTATCTTTATTTGTAATTTCAAGTCTTCAAAAAGAATTTGTTGTAAGGATCACTTTCATTCTCAATTTAAAATACAGGCTAGGTGGCTCAGATGGTTGGGGCATAATCCAGTACACCAAAAAGTTGTGGGTCCAATCCCCTGCCAGAGAGCGTACAGAAGCAATCAATCAGTTTCTCTCTCACATTGATATCTCTCTCCCCTGCCTACCCTTTCCTCTCCCTCCCTCCCTCCCTCTCTAAAATCAATAAACATATCCTCAGGTTAGGATAAATAAATAAATAATAAAATATCTTCATTTTCTTCATTCATTTTTCTAAAAAAGAGTAATAGGAACCAACTCTGATGTGCACTGTACCTTTAAATGATTATTTGCAACTGCATCATGTAAGGGCAGAATTCCATCTAGATTTTCACAATTAACATTAGCACCAGCTTTTAACAACGCTACAATTATATCATTAGATCCCTCACTAGATGCCTTATGTAGTGGTGTCCAACCTAAAATAGAAAAAAGGAAAAAACAAAAGAAGCTGTGGCTTACAGATTGACATTCATGTAATGTAGCCACCATTAAGTTTATTTGCACTAATGGAATCAGCATCTATATTGATTCAAAAGTATATACTAGTGGAAAAGAAATAATATTGAAAACTATGGCCTTAAAATGTTTCATTTTTAAAAACAAACTGATCTCATAAAAATATTTTTATAGAAGTGCCAAAACAGAAGACTCACAGAACATTAAATATAATGGGACCAGAGTAAATATTAATCATATCAATTTGTTTCAATTCAGATATTAAAATACAGTAAGATCATGCCTGACTTTTCCACTCGTATCCTTCCATTGTCACATTTCTCTTTAAAATGAAATGTGATTCAACCAGTCTTTGAGTTTTTCCCTCTGAAATTCCTTACACATGATTCTTCTCGGATGAGCAAAGTGTCAAGAGATCAATTTAAAACTGGAAGTTTAAAATAAAATTAAGGGAGGAGAGAAGAAAGGAAAAGTAAAAAGAGAAGAGGAAAGGAAAAGGGACATAAAATGGAAAAAATTTTACAAGCTCTCCAAAGTTAGGGAATGGTATTAAAGTCTCCAAGGAAAAGGCCTAAATAAAGCTTCCCTTACTCCCCATTCTGTATACTCTCACTGAATGCTCCCAAATGTGTATTAAAAACTCTTTCAAAGAAGGTTATTTTACTGTGGGAACCAAGATTAATATTACTATTCAACTAGCAGTAAAAAAGATTGTTTAAAGTTAGCTGTTATATAGCAGCCAAATTCTAAATTGGGGTGGTGGGTGTGAAATGTGTATTTTAGTGAGTTCAAATTGTAAACACAATTAAAATTAAAAGAATCCGAACCTGCATTATCTTTTAGATTCACATCTGCTCCAGATTCTATTAGAACTTTCATCAGAGACAAATTTCCTCTTCTGGCAGCCAAATGAAGCTGGCTTTCCCCTCTGGCAGTCCTCTTATTGATCCCAGCTGTTTTCATTTCTGTAAATTTGCCAAGCAAAACTGAGGCCGCTTTTCTGCCAAAGGCTGATTATTATAAAGGAACTTAGAAAATACATAACAACTTCCTCAAAATATCCTAAGTAGGGTGCATGACACAGAAGCATAAATTAATATTACCATTACTGTTACTATTTTAAAATATAACTGAGACACAGTTCTTCAACTTCTGAAGAAATTATAGGACATCTAAGCACAAATTCATTCTAGCAGTTGTTCAGTCACTCTATCATATGCTTGATTAAAACAAATAAACTTGTTTCAATTCTACACTCGTTTCACCCTTAGTAGCCCTTTAACAATGGATACATTTTTTCTTAAAACAAATTGTGATTTTTATAAAAATTCTCTTTGACAGCTATTCTCTTTCTTGGTGAGTCTGTTTCTGATTACTTAAGATGCCAAGAACCAAACTGTGGCCTATTGATTTATTATTTTTATTTCATAAAAAGTGAAGCATTATCTAAAGATTCTTTTTTAACTCTATTTCTTGCAAGACAAGTTAGATAGGCTTAAGCTGGAACTAAAAACAATGAACTGAACACGTTTTCCCCTATTTCCTCCTCAAACCATACTAAAGTGATGGTAAAAGTTTTAAAAAAAATATATGAAAGAAGCAGAAGAAGGAAAAATAGAGGACAAAGACTTCAAGAAATTTGGGGGAATTGGAAAGTCACAATGGAGAAGAGTTAACTTGTGGCAAAGCGGGGAATGGTTCACAGGAGGAATTTGCTGAGGAAGGGAGCCAATCCTCACCCAGGCACTCAGCACTTGAGGGCATTAGGTACCATGAAAGGAAGCATGGAAACAGGGGGACTGACTGGAAAAGTGTATGTAGAGAAAAGTTGGAACTCCAAGTTGCTTTTTCCTCGACCCCAAATTGCCTGGCAACCACTCCTGCCACCCCAGATTCCCATCCCTAAACCAGGAACCTGGCGGGTAATTTTCTGTAGAGCTTGCATCAGAGGAGCTTCAAACGGAGACACTAGGCAAAGTAGAGGATTAGACTGATTATACAAAAACAACTATTCATTAAACCAGTAGTACTCAAAGTGGAGTCCCAGATCAGCAGTATCAGTATCACTTGGGAAACTTGTTAAAAATGCAAATTCTTCAGCCACCCTAAGCCTACTCTGGAGGGCAGACTTTAAGATGGCTTCTAATGATCCTTACCTTCTATTTATTGCAATGTTTTAAGGGGCTTTCCAGGAGACTCTGATGCAAGATAAGGCTTAAAGACTGCTGCATGAAACCATCAGACCCTTACTCTGCTTATGTCCTATATGTCAGCAACCAGGCATATAATGTCAGAGCAAGAGAAAAAAGATGGGAGGACTACTCTAACAAATAGATCATTTGTGTATATGAGTCACAGGGAAAACTGATACCCAGACAAAATTTCTAAAGTTTTTAGAAATTTGCATTCAGAAATTCTTTATTGGAAGAATAAAGACATATTTTATATATAATATATATTTCATGTTAGATGTATATTTCTAAATGGTAATATAAAGACTACCTAAGATGGTAGGTTTGCAGATTGTAAGTTTCAATTGAAAAATCTCTCCCAGTAATTGTTCCTGTGAATGACACAAATCTTTTCAACTTGTTCCTAGTATGTTTTGTAGCAAAGAAGGTAGGCATGTGATAAACATTTTGGGATAAAAACTCAGAAACTGCTCAATGTTAGTGCTGTCATAAATTTCAACAGCATTTTCCTGAAATTTGAAAATAACAAAATGTGGCAGAAAAAGGAAAGGAAACAAATGGGACTCACACTAAAATTCTTTATAAAGTCCACTGTAGTTAAAGCTGAGTATTTCATAATAGCATTATATTTTACATTTATTTAATAAAGTATTAATTACTTATTAATAAAGTATAATGTCATTAAGAAATACTCAGCTGTCTGAACTTTTTTATGTGGCCTGTTTTTTCCTCTCTAGAAGCTTTTTGGATCTTCTCTTTATTTTTTCTTTGAAATTTCACAATGAGATGTCTTATTTATTGTACTAGATACTTTGTGGCCCTTTCAATATGGAAGCTTCTGTTCTTTATTTCTTATATCTTTAATGATTTCATTTCTTATTTTCACTGTTCTCTCTGGATATCCTGAAGTGAGCTTCTAATTTTCTTTTCTCTCCTTATTTTCCAGTTTTCTCTACTTTTATTTTTTACAGTGGACTTGGAATGTTTTACCATCCAACTGTGCTACAGAGATCTGTATTTTTTAAAAAACCTTTCTGCTATTATGTTTTTAACATATTATTAAGGGCTTTCTATTGTTCTCTGTTCCTTTTGTCTATGCCTTTAAAAAAAGTTTCAGATATATCCTGATTCTTTTATCTGTTTCTTCTGGATTCCTTTGGTCTGTTTAGATCACTTTGATATCTCTTTTATACTGGGATTTTCTATAAATACATGTTAATTTTTCTCTATGAGAAAAACTAAAATGCTGACTGGAAATCTGTGGAGGATGAGGGAAGTGCAGCAGAGCTCAGGGCTTGGTAGAATTCACCCTTGGGTGATTGGGGCTTAGGTAAGATGGCCTTTGTCTTAGGGAATTACCAGGTGTTTTTGGAATTCTCTTCTCTTGGGCAGTTCAATTTATTAATTCAATAAAATATATACTTATTCAGGCACTGTACTCTAAAACAAAGAGAGAGAGAGAGAGATGAAACACAACAGAAATTTATTATCTCATAGTTCTGGAGACCAGAAGTCCAAAACCAAGGGGTCAGCAGGTCTACACTCTCTCTAGAAGCTCTAAGGGACAATCCTTCCTTGACTGTTCCAACTTCTGATGGATATCAGAATTCCTTGACTCCCTTGATTTTGGCTACATTGCTCCTCTGCCTCCATCTTCACATCGTCATCTCCTTTCCTGTGTGTCTCAAAGTTTCTGTTTTTCTTTTATGAAAACACTTGTAATTAGATTTAGGGCCCACTGAATAATTCTGAATGATCTCCTCATTTCAAGATCTAAATTACATCTGCAAAGATTCAAGATGGCAGAGGAGTAAGTGGAAGCTACACTAACTGAAGTAGTCCAGCCTATTGTTCAGCACATAACTAGCTCCAAGGACTGTCAAAGCATAGTTAGCTTGACCATACTTCCAAACACAAACAGTTCATTCATATGACCCAAAGAAACTAGTGGCTATGCTTTTAAATATTTCCTTATGTTAAAAGAGCTCAGTGGATGTAGCTATGAGATGTGAAACAGTTTACCCCTACTGCCCACTCTCAGAATTTGTGTGGTTTATCTCCTTTAAAATAACAAATTAGAAATCAGAGGCAGAAATATCATAAGAACGTATCTAAAGATTAACAGATTCGTAAGTGGTGCTTTATAGTGAAACCATCTGAAACTATAGCTGAAATAATTTTATAACTTAGTGAATGACTAAACAAATAAACAAATAAATCTGAAAGTTTAGAAATGTCCTGAAGTAGAGTAGGTTTCTGGGCTTGGCCATGTAAACATTTACCAATAACAGTACAGGAATACAAACCTTGGCTGCAGGCAGCTTTCGAGAAATTTTGTCTTTTCTTGAAATTCTGAACTTTATAATGTTCTTGTATGTTAGCAGGTATATGAATTTCTGAATCTGTTTTATCTTTTTTCCCTTCACAATTTCTTACAGTGTTTTCATCTCCATTGATATTATTAGTTAACTCTTCATCTGAAAAACAAACATTTTGCCTTATCAGTGTGGTAGTTCTCATTACTGGTTACATGACTAGAAAAAAGTCTAGTCATGTAACTGTTTTGAGGTTCTGTTCCTAGCTGGACTGTTTTCTTTTTAAGGGAATGAAAAACTTTAAAAATGTTTTTATATAACAAATGTAAATTAGTTTGCCAAATGCAATTCTGATGGGAATTCAGTGAATTGTTAAAATCACTGGAGCTAACAATTTCCTGCTTTGAAAATGTTGTTTCCTAAGATAAGTCCACACTAAAAACAAACATAAAATTGATATAATTACTGTTTATTAACTTTTGTCAATATCAATTGAGCAACTCTCTTTGATAATAATGGTTTGACTTTCAAAGTAAACACTAACAGCATCCCCAAATTATAGCTCACATGTCCTCATTCTTGTTAGTTTGGTCATAAGTTGAGTGAAATTCAGTTGGAAATTTCTATAAAATAAGGAAATCTACAGCAAATGTGTACAAATCTAGAAATACTACTAATACCTGGTTTGTGAGAAATTTTCTTCTCTTCTCTTTGACTAACTTGTGAGACGTTGGTCAATTCTTTATTCATATTGTCAGTGGAATGAAAATCTACATTATGTATGTTTTCGTTCTCTGGAAGGTCTTTTTTCCTTTTTTCAACTTTAGTTGTTTCTGTCACTTGAGAATGGACAACTGTGGATAAAGGCGCATTTGAAGAATTTGTTTTTTGGCCTTCATCAGTGTAATTCCTTTTAGCATCTTCTTTCTTATTCCTCCTTTCCACAATATGTGTCTCTATTTGATTCATTAAAGGAGTTGGCACTCTGGGGCTACAACAATCCTGAGATCTTGTGAATTGCTCCACATGACTAGTCAACTTTGAAACTTCATGTGTTGAAAGTGTTCTTGTACAAGCCAAGGAAGTATGCTCAGGATTCCCATGTGAGTGATCAAAAGAAGTTCCATACATGCAGCATTCATAATTTGCAACGTGTGGTTCAGAAACAGCTATAGCTATATTATCTGAATTGGAAAAATTGATGGCTTCCTGTTGTGGAAGTATACTTAGGCCACCTGCTGTTAACTTATTTTCCTGTGAAAAATGGTCTTCAGAAGGTAAAAATTGTTGAAAATTCATTCCTTCTCTAGTTGTTATATCTTTATAATAATGGTGATTTTTGCAACCTGTAGAATATACCACCTTTTTAGATGTTTCAGTCTTCTCAGAGGTACAGCAGTTGCCATGAATATCATTATTAAAATTTTTCCACTTATTAAGGTCCTCTGTTTTCGCATCCAAGTTACTGTTTTCATGAGATTTATAAGGACTAATGTGCTGTTGTTCTCGATGAGTATGAGGCTGCTGATATGTAGTAACAATTGGTAATTTGGTTTCTTTATGTAAAGAATGTCCTGAGAAAGAAAGGGCTTTAACTTGGTCACTAGATTCTAATTCCAAGGACTGGAGTATTTCTTGATTTTCTGATAAATCTAGGGTCTGGGTATATGTCTCTTTGCGAATTGAACAAATCTCAATATTATTATCTAATCTATTTTTCAGGCTTGACAGAGCCGGGCTAAAAGGTTTACATGGCTCTTCTGGAAAGTCATCAAGGGTTTGGAGACTATGTTGCTGATGAGTAATCAATCTACTACAACTTCTGGAAGAAGAGATAGCTACTGTCTTTCTTGAGTTGCTTTCTTGGGTTGCACTATCTACTTGAGTGCTTTTTTTTTGTGCCTTTTTTCTTCCTTTATATTTAGACACATTTGTGCTGGTATTTTTGACACTATGGAGATTGTCTTTTCTGAGTCCTGTAGAGTATGCTTGGTTAACAGTTGATTGTTTATGCTTGGAGTTACCAAATTTCATGCTTTTGGAATCTTTTGGGTAATGTTCATATATATCTTCTTTCTTTATAAATAAACACTCTTTGCTTCCTTCATTATCTTTTACATGTTCTAGCTTCTGTTTGTTGGAATTTTCATCACAAACAAACTCAACACAATTTTTAGAACTGACTTTTGGTTTCTATAGAAACAAAATATACAGTTAGCTTTAATTGTCAGCTGTAGTTCTATATTCAATTCATTCTGGATTGTTCACAAATTAAACTATTACTCCATTCAATTTTATAATTTGACCTAATCACAGGGTCTACTGGGATATATACAACCTGACTCTTCAGAAAAGTAGATTAATAGTAGAAAAGTATATACAATAGACTCAGTATGTGTACTAATCTTTATTTTCTGGTGTAAATTTCAATTTCTTTTTACCAGTATTTTAGCTCGATCGACCTTATGAAGTATAATAAAAAATCTTAATCTACTTATAGGCTTTTGAAATAATCAGATAAAAGTTTCCTTGTAAGGAGACTTTACAAGAATACATTAGAAATACTCTTCTTTCCCAAATGTTATACAGATAGAGCTTGAATTTAAAAAGTTTCTTCCGCTCGTATTTGTGAGAGACTATATAGGTAGGGCAGCAGAAGAAGGGATTTAAAAACACAAAGACAGATATGCTCCTAAACTGGTCTGTATGGAAAAATTATTGTGGGCTGCTAAGATTAAAACAGGAACAATGCTTCCTGTCACTCACCACAACTGAAGCACCACATAAAGAGTAACTGTCCACCATGTGAAGTTTGAAGGGACAGATCAATGCCTTTGACTCTTGTACTGTGTTTAGGCCAAAGGAAATCTGACATGGTTGATAAACCTTATGGCTCCATGAAGAGGAAGAGAAAGCAAATGTCTACCAATATATCATTGTGCCCAGATACGCTACATTTACTACTTCCCAAATTTATGGCCCAGAACCCTCTGATTCTCATGTAATTATTCCAAAGTATCTTAAAGCAAAGATGAAGTCACTGTTCTTAATCCATGCTTCAGCAATCTTTCCCCTTTGATGATGTATAAAAAATAACCAGCAGGTGCATTCTATGAAAATGTTTATTGCTAAACAGATATATACCTTGTGCTGGTGTGCATCCTCTACCTCTAGTGGGTCACTGCTGTTCTTTTGAGAGAACAGAACTTCTGTTAAAAAAGAGAGAGAGAGAGAAATCAAGAAAATAGCCTCCAGTGGTCAGTATATAGACTTCTAAAATCCACAAGTCTCTTGCCATGAGAAAATCAGGTAGAATAAGTATAATTATGCAATAATTTTCTATTAAAATTCACACAAATAACATTACTATAATTTCCATATTTATCAGAAACCAAATACTGTCTTGAGGGATCTAAAAACATTTCTGTGGATAAAGCTAAATAGACCTAAAAAGTAATACTAAAAAAGGACACTGAACTCAGTATTTTTATATTCTCTAGAGATATGTCCGGATATTTAACTGTGTGAAAGCAACTTTTATAAGGCAAAAATTATTTAATTAATTGAATTACCATCATTCCCTAATGTTTACTTAATGAGGTTCAGTTTGTTCCTCTTATTTTCCAGTAAGATTGGGCTACCAAAAAGAAGTCTTTTGTCCTAAAGAACTATTTATTAATTGCTTCTTGGTGGCTTTAATTATCACTAAGTTATCTCTTTATTATAAAAATAGGGTGTTTTGATCCAGGTCTTAGTCCTTAGTCAATGGCATTCAAATAATCACCTCTTGGGAAAAATTCTATTAATATGTAGTTCAGTCAAAGTGAATGAAGCACACGTATCTCTTGAATGAAAAGAATTTGTTTTGTTTGGTTTCAAAGGACTGACACTCAATTTATTCAACAAATATTTACCAAATGCCTACTGTGTACATGGCACTTCAGTATTTATTACTACACAAAACAAAGATCCTTTCCTTCATGGAGCTTAGCTTCTAGTGGGGGAAGACCAAAAATAAAAAATAAGCAATTGTCCAATGTGTACGATGGTGTTAAGTGCCATGGGAAAAGGATAAATACAGCAGGTAAGAGGGACTAGAGAGAGTGTGGTAGTTCTAAAAATATGTTCATAAAAATTGTGATACTCTTCCTTTCAAGAGGTGAGGCTTAATTTTGCTGCCCAAGTGTAGGCCAGACTTAGTGACTCACTTCTAACAAATCAAATATGGCAAAAGAGATTGTATATCAATTCCAATATTAGGTTATAAAAAGGCTGTGGCTTTGTCTTGGGTGCATTTTCTCTTGGATTACTTGCTCTGAGCCAGCTATCAGGTTGTCAGCAGCCTTATGGAAAAGCTCATGTGGCAAGTAACTGAAGCTACCAGCTGACAACCAGCAAGGTACTGAAGCCTGTCGGTAATCATGTGAGTGAGCTGGAAAGTGGCTTTTCCTGCCGCACTGAGCCTTGAGATGACTGCAGCCCTCGCTGTTAGCTTGACTGCAGCCTGTGACAGACCCAGATACAAACCACTGAAATGAACGGCACTCAGATTTCTAACTCCGTGAAACTGTGAGAGATAATAAATGATGTTTAAAGATGCTAAGTTTTGTCGAATAATGGTAGATAACTAATTCAGTGGGGGTAGGAAAAAGGCAGTCTGCAATATTAAGTAGGGTGGTCCAGGCCTCAGTGAGAAGATGTGGGAGGATATCTAAGGAACAGCAAGGAGGCCAGTGTGACTAAACTAAAGTGACAGAGGTAGAGAGTTGTAGGAGAGGTTAACTGGTAGGGTGGCTGATAGTGCACTGTGTTTCTAGGCCTGGCATTTCTTCTAGATTAAATGGAGAGCTATTGCAGGGTTTTGAGCAGAGAAATGCAGTAATGCATTAATTAAATTGGTTATACTAGCACATGTAGATTTTTAAAACTGAGAGGAAAAAAGCCCCTTCTTGCTTCCAGACTCCCTCAGAAAATTTGCCTGTTAGGTTGGCTCCCAGAAAAAAAATTTTTTTTTACAAAAAAAATATAACAGGTATTAAGGAGAACATAAAGAATATGCCATGTATTTAAGTTATTCTTATGTAACCTTTATATTGACAACTGCAGATCAAGTACTTTGGAGTTAATTTAAAAGTGTAATGGATGACAGGGCAACAGTATAGCCATAAGAAAAGATTCTTAGGGAATGGAAATAAACAATTTTGACTATATTCATTAACAAAGATACAGCCAAATATAATTTACATCACATAATGCTATTCAGCCTAAGGATTATGGGGAGTGTCAGAATTTTGCAGAAGTTCTCTTAACCATTTCCTGTGCACAACCTGGGGAAAAGTACATTTGGTATTACCTTTCTTTTTCTTTTAGGAGTCCTTCAGTTATGACATTTGTAAACAAGTCAGTCTGCTTTATTAAAGAAATGGAGCAAGGACATCACTGGGTGCATTTTCTCAAAACTTATAAGGAAAACAAATTTAATTTCTATAATTGTAAATTCAATTTCTGTAACTTTCTACCAACACGAACAAATGTAACAAAGCAGTTTAATCTTACCTGTAATAAGATGTTTCTGATGTTTAGGAACATATCTCTCAAGAAGACGCTTCATACGTGCATCTTTGGCCTCATCCAAAGCACACTTTTCATTGTCACTTCTAAATAATGGATCAGCTCCATTCAAAAGAAGTAACTCTGCCACCTAGAGGAAGACTCATATGAAGGAAGCCAGACAAAAGGTATATTATTGTTAAATGTGCGACAGCATACCACTCTAAACAACATCAGATATTTCTTTCAACAATACAAAGTTTGATTTTACCTATAACATATTGCCCAATAAAAAGTTTAATGTAATTGCTACTGAATCATAATTTGTTGATATACATATCCCTTTTTTTACAAACAAAAAAAAGAAAGAGGGAGGGAAAGAAGGAGAAGAAGAAAGAAGGGAAGAAAGGAAAAAAGGAAGGAGGAGAGGAAGGAAGGGAGGAAAGGAAATGTTTGTATTTCAGCTGCTGGTAAAATGGGGCTAGAAGATAAACCAAGAATGAGGATGGGATTCTGCAGTAGTAAATGTTAGTATACCAGGTTCTGGGAGATAGTCATGTTTTCCACCTACATCTGTGTTGCTGCTGCTCCTTCTCAGAGAAAAATAACCCCTCTCTTCTTTCAGGTACATATTTTGCAATAGTGCCTAATATACTCTATATTATTTTTTGGACATCTCTCTGTGTGTTACCGTCATCTGCAGCATAAATGGTGCGCTTCCAGCAGCAGAGGAAGTGGAACAGGGACAACTTGGCCTCAGGAACAGGCCAGGTTTTGGGGCCCCTGCTCTTGGTAGTCACAAATGTGATTTGCCCCAGAGGTGACCCATATGATGACTGCCAATGAGAACCAGGAGATGGAAATGGAAGCATTACATTCTACATATGAAAGAGATGACAGTTTTGGGGAGTTAAGTCCAGTTTCATTTCAATATAAAGTGAAAATAGTGATCCCAAAGCCTTTTTAATAGAGATTTCCTGGACAGAAACATATCCTCAGAGACCTCCAATTACATTTATGAACACTTTTTTTTTAACAGGACCATATCCTCAGCTGAAAAGAAGACTGTATTAGCCAAGGAAGCATGGAAGTTAATCTTTGCACTGCTATGACCTACACATTGTTCAAATATGCAAGGACAATAAAGAACAGTTCATGGAGAATCACTATCCCATTAATTCTTCAGCATCCACAAGCAATATCGTCTTAGTTGAACTTCATAAGACAGTCTCATCAAGTAAGGAAAAAAGACAAAAGAGAATAATTTTAGAAAGCTCAGAAATGTATGCTGGTAGATAGAACAAATCAGAAAGGAGAACTTCCTTGAGGATGGAACTGGATTGATTGAGATGAAGCATTTAAGCAAAACTGACTCTAAAGATGACGAATAGTATTTGGAATTTGAAACAAGGGAAGGACATCCTTTAAAAAGAAATTGAGTTCAAAATCTTTTGTTACTCTTCCTGGTATTGAGGCGGCTTCTATAAGATATAGACGCTAAATAACATTTATTAAACAATGAATGGGTCAACAATGAGATCAAGGAAGAAATAAAAAGATACCTTGAAACATATGAAAATGAGGGCATCACAATTCAAAATCTGTGGAACTGGGAAAGCAATCCTAAGAAGGAAATACATGGCATTACAGGCCTATCTCAAAAAAAAAACAAGAAAAAGTTCCAATAAATAACCTATCTGTATACTGAAAGGAACTTGAAAAAGAACAACAAACAAAACCCAAAGTGAGTAGAAGGAAGGAAATAATAAAGATCAGACCAGAAATAAATGAAATAAAGTCTAAAAAAAAAATACAAAAGATCAATGAATCCAAGAGCTGGTTCTTTGAAGAGATAAACAAGATTGACAAATCTTTAACCAGACTCATCAAGAGAAAAAGAGAAAGGACCCAAATAAATAAAAACAGAAATGAAAGAGGAGAAATAACTGACACCAAAGAAATACAAAGGACTGTAGGAAAATATTATGATTAATTTACATGCCAACAAGCTGGACAACCTGGATGAAATGGATAAATTCCTAGAAACATATAATCTCCAAAACTAAAACAGGAAGAATCAGAGAATCTGAATAGACAGATTACAACTAATGAAATTGAAGCAGTAATCAAAAAAACTCCCAAGAAAGAAAAGCCCTGAACCAGAAAGCTTCACAGGGGAATTTTACCAAATATTCCAAAAATTAACACCTCTTCTCAAACTATTTCATAAAATTCAAGAAGAGAAAAGTTTCCTAAACTCATTTTACAGGCCAGCATTATCTTAATTCCAAAACCAGTTAAAGACATACAAAGAAAGAAAATTATAGGCCAATACTCCTGATGAACATAGATACTAAAATCCTCAACAAAATATTAGCAAACTGAATACAGAAATGGATCATATACCATGATCAAGTGGGATTTATTTCAGGAACACAAGGTTGGTACAACATTCACAAATCAATAAATGTGATTCACCACATAAACAAAATGAAGGATAAAAACTACATGATCATATGAATAGATACAGAAAGGCATCTGATGAAATTCAACACTGATTTATGATCAAAACTCACAGCAAAATGGGATTAGTGGGAACATACCTAAACATAATAAAGGCTATATATATGACAAACCCACTGTCAGTTAGCATCATATTCCATGGTCAGAAACTATTAGCATTCCCCTTAAGATCTAGAGAAAGACAGGGATGTCTGCTTTCACCTCTCTTATTTTACATAGTACCGGAAGTCCTAGCCACAGCAATCAGATAGAAGGCATCCAAATTGGAAAGGAGAAGAAAACTATCTTCATTTGCAGATGATACGATGTTGCACATAGAGAATCCCAAAGATTCCACCAAGAAACTACAAGAACTGGAAAAGAATTCAGCAAAGTAGGATACAAAATTAATATCCAGACATCAGCTGTATTTTTATATGCCAATAACAAACTAACAGAAACAGAAATTAAGAAAACAATCCCATTCACAATTGCTACAAAAAGAGTAAAATACTTAGGAATAACCCTAACAAAGGATGTAAAAGACCTGTACACGGAAAAGATGCTGAAGAAAGAAACTGAAGAAGATACAAATAAGTGGAAGCACATACTGTGTTCATGGATAGGAAGAATTAACATCATTAAAATGTCCATATTACCCAAAGCAATCTATAGATTCAATGCAATTCCTAACAGGATTCCAATGATGTATTTCATAAATTAGAACAAATATTTCAAAATTTATATGGAACCACGAAAGGCCTCTCATAGCAACAGTGATCCTGAGAAAGAAGAACATAGTTGGAAGAATCATGATACCTAATGCCAAACTATACTACAAGGCCACAGTTATCAAAACAGCCTGTACTAGCATAAAAACAAACACATAAATCAATGGAATACAATAGAGAATCCAGAAATAAACCCACACCTTTTTAGTCAATTAATATTTAACCAAGGAAGCATACACATACAATGGGCTAAAGATAGTTTACTCAATAAATGGTGCTGGGAAAATTGGACAGATATGTGCAGAAAAATGAAATTAGACTGCCTTATACCACACAAATAAATTCAAAATGGATCAAAGACTTAAATGTTAGACCTGAAAACAGAAAAATCCTGGAAGAAAACATGTCAGCAAAATCTTGGACACTGGAGACTTCTGGCGAAGATGAAGGTGTAGGTAGATATCCTTTGTTTCCTCACACAACCAAAGAAGGACAACAACAAATTTAAAAACAAAAAACAACCAGAATTGCCAGAAAATTGAACTATACGGAAGTCCAACAACCAAGGAGTTAAAGAAGAAACATTCATCCAGACTGGTGGTAGGAGGAGCTGAGACAGACAGCTGGGGTGGAGAGGATGTGAGGCAAGGCAGCGGACTGGGCAGGCGAGGCTGTGGCCGGCAGACCAGACCCGGTGGTCTGACTTTCACATGCAGATAAGCCAGAAGGAACAGCAGGGAAGTGAGACAGACTGAGCTACTCAGGGCTTCAGCACAGGAAATTAAAGCCTCAAAACCTCTGGCTGTAAAATCCTGTGGGGATTGCAGCAGTGGGAGAAATTCCCAGCCTCACAGGAGAGTTCACTGGAGAGACCCACAGGGTCCTTGAATGCACACAAACCCACCTACTCAGGAATCAGCACAAAAAGGGCCCAATTCACTTATGGGTAATGGGGGAAGTGACTGAAAGCCAGCCAAGAGCCAAGCAAGCTGCATTGTTCCCCCCTCTGACCCCTCTCCCATATACAGTGCCACAAGACAGTGACGTGGGTTGCCTGCCCTGGCACATACCGAAGGCTCCATCCCTCACAATGTAAAAAAGTGTGCAGAGACAAAGAAATACAGCCCAAATGAAAGAACAGATCAACACTCCAAAAATAGAACTAAGTGATAAGGAGATAGCCAACCTATCAGATGCAGACTTCAAACACTGGTAATCAGGATGCTCACAGAAATGGTGGAGTATGGAAGCAAAATAGAGGAAAAAGTGATGGATATGCAAAGTGAAATAAAGAAAAATATACAGAGGACCAAGACTGAAGGAAACCAGAACTCAAATCCACAATTTGGAACAGAAGGAAGAAACAAGAATTAAAAAGAAATCAGGAGAGGATTAGGAACCACTGGGACAACATTAAACATTCTAACATCCAAATCATAGGGTTGCCATAAGGAGAAGAAGACCAAGAAATTGAAAACTTATTTGAAAAAATAATGAAGGAAAACTTCCCCAATCTGGCAAAGGAAATAGACTTCCAGAAAGTCCAGGAAGCTCAGAGAGTCCCAGAGAAATTGGACCCTAGGAGGAACACACCAAGACACATGGTAATTAAATTACCCAAGATCAAAGAAAAGGAGAGAATTTTAAAAACAGAAGATAAAAGGGGATACTTACCTACAGGAGAGTTCCCATAAGACTGACAGCTGATTTCTCAAAAGAAACCTTGCAGGCAAGAAAGGGTTGCGAAGAAGTATTCAAAGTCATGAAAAGCAAGGACCTACATCCAAGATGACTCCATCCAGCAAAGCTATCATTTAGAATGGAAGGGAAGATAAAGTGCTTTCTAGAAAAGGTCAAGTTAAAAGAGTTCATCATCATCAAGCCCTTATTATATGAAATGCTAAAGAGACTTATCTAAGGAAAAGAAGAAAATCAAAACTATAAACAGTAAAATGACAACAAATTCACAACTATCAACTCTGAACCTAAAAAAACAAAAACAAACTAAGCAAACAACTAGAACAGGAACAGAATCACAGAAATGGAGATCACATGGAGGATTATCAGCTGGGAAGGAGACAGGGGAGAATGGGGGAAAAGGTACAGGGAATAAGAAGCAACAAGCGTAGGCACAAAATAGACAGGAGGTTAAGAATAGTATAGGAAATGGAGAAGCCAAAGAACATACATGTGTGATCCATGGACATGAACTCAGGGGTGGGGAATGCTGATGGGAGGGATGGGGTGCAGGGTGGAGGGGGATAAAGGGGAGAAAAATAATGGGACAACTGTAATAGCATAATCAATAAGTTATACTTTAAAAAGATCTTGGAAATAGCTCATAGTTATTTTTTATGGCATATATCTCCTCAGGCAAGGGAAACAACAACAACAACAACAAATGGGACTACATCAAACAAAAAAGTTTTGCCCAGCAAGGGAAATCATCAACAAAATAAAAAAGACAACCCACAGAATGGGAGAACATTATTCGCCAATACACCTGATAAGGGGTTATTATCCAAAATTTATAAAGTATTTACAAAATTCAACACCAAAACAACAAACATCCTAATTAAAAAATGGGCAAAGGATCTGAATAGACACCTCTCCAAAGAGGACACAGAGTTAGCCAATAGACATATGAAAAGATGCTCATGTCACTAATCATCAGAGAAATGCAAATTAAAACCACAATGAGATACCATCTCCCACCTCTCAGAATGGCTATCATCAATAAATCAACAAACAAGTTCTGGTGAGGTACAGAAATGGAGAGCCCTTTTGTACTGTTGGTGGGAATGCAGATTGGTGCAACCACTGTGGAAAGCAGTATGGAGATATCTCAAAAAATTAAAAATGGATCTGCCTTTTGACCCAGTGATCCCACTTCCGGGAATATATCTGAAGGAACCCAAAACACTAATTCAAAAGAACATAAACACTCCTATGTTCATTGCAGCATTATTTACAATCACCAGGATATGGAAGCAGTCCAAGTGTCCATCAACAGGTAAGTGGATAAAACAACTATGGAACATTAACAAATGGAGTACCACTTGGCCATATAAAAGAAGAAAATTTTACCCTTTGCAACAGTATGGATAGACCTTGAGAACATCATGCTAGAGTGAAATAAGCCAGTCAGAAAAAGACATACCGTATGATTTCACTCATATGTGGAATCCAATGGATAAACTGAACTAACAAGCAAAACAAGAGACAGACTCCTAGTAAGAGAGCAGATGACAGCTAGTGGGGAGGTGGTTAGTGGGTGGAGGGATTGAGCAAAAAGGAGAAGGAAGTCATGGACATGGATAACAATGTGGTAATTGCTGGGAGGAGGGCGTATAAGGTGACTAAATGGTAAGGGAAAAAATGCAATAAAGATTAAATTAAAATTTCAAAAACAAATAGAAAATATATGAAAAAAAAAGCTATAGACCACCAGAAAGATAACATTAGCTAAATTCAAAATTTAGGAAATTCTGTTATCAATTAAAACATACTTAAGAAATACAACAATCACATGTAATATATGGACTTTGTAAGATCCTGATTCAAACAAAACCTTTTTAATAAAACACATTTGTTTAGATAACCTGGAAAATTTAAATATAAACTGGGCATTAAATGGTTTTAAGAAACTGTTAATTCTTATTATGTGAAATGATATTGTGGGTGTGAAAAAAATGTCTGTACCCATTAGAGATGCAGACTCAAATATTTACGGGTAAAATGGTATGATATCTGGGATTTCTTAAGAATATTCCAAATAAAACACAATCTGTATTCCAGCCTGTAGAGGTGGTTTGACTCTTTATAGCATAATAGAATATATCATCAAAGCTTTATAAGAGAACTCACTCTAGATACACATGGAATGAATAATCATCATGTCTGAGGAATATTTTTTCAATATATGTGGATCCCAGTAACTTTGTCAACTAATCTCATACACTCATATACCTTAGGGCACTTCATGAAATAAAAGCTTTGTTAAAATCATGACAGCTTACATCAACTTGCCATGTCATTTTCTTCACATACTAACAAAGTAAGCCTAAAAATAGAGGAATCAAGGTTTGTCTGATATATCTTGTTCTTAATGATACCAAAAGATTTTCAAAGACCACTACATTCTTGTCTAAATGTCTCCTATCATCTGTTAAATAACTTATTCCAGATTTTTTGAAGGAACCACACTGAGATGATCATCTGTAATACTCAAATTCTACCTTTTCCATATTTTAAAAGATGTACTTTTAAGTTTTGTTTATTTAGAATTCACATGCCACTCAATTCATTTAAAGAATACAATTCAATGTTTTTAGTATGTTAAGAGGGTTGTATAAACATAACCACAACCTTATTTTGGAACACTGTCATTCCCCTTAAAAGAACCCTTTAACCATGATCTGTCACTCATCTTTCCTCACCCTCTACCTCCCATTCCTACTCTTCTTTCTGTCTCTATAGATTTGGTCCATTATGGCTGTTTTAAATAAATGAAATTATACAATATGTGTTTTAATGGCTTTTTCACTTTAAAAAGTATGATTATTATCTTTTAGTACTCCTATATTTTACTATCTTTCCAATATACAGTCAATGCCTGTAGGACAGTATCAAGTACCTTTAACTCTGGGATGTTAAAAAGCTCACACTCCCCGGGTTCCGAGTCCAGAATCAGGTTCCCAGGCTTCCCTATTTGACATCTTTAGTCCTCTGACATCTAAGATATAGGAGCAATCCCATACACAGGGCCTAGGCCATTTTTCTGATCATCTTTGCCTGATCTACGAGATTCCTTGAGGTAAGCCTAGATACTCATCTGATGCTCCCACCATTCCTACTCTATCCCCTAAAACCATGTCCTGACCCACTTTGGTTCTCAAGGCTTTGGTTCTTAAATCAGTCCAGAACTAACCTGGAGTTTTCTAATTGCTCTTGGACTGGGTGAAGTAACTTGTTGGCTCCACCCAGATAAATTAAAGGGGAGGGCAGAAGGAAGACACACTGTGACTTCACCCCACTCCACTGGGTTTTAGCTTTTAATCATCATGACTGTTCTCTAGATTTCTACTCCTTGTCATTCTCTTTTCTCTGGCGTCAGGATATGCCATAGAGCCAGGAGCACATGAGTTATAGGAACACAGAAGATGGCAAAAGGGGAGGGTGGTAAGTAGTGAGGTCTGTGCCTTTGGTCCCTTCTACTTCACTGAGGCAACAGGAGAAGGTTACATATCTGTAAAGGCTAGAGGAAGACAGCCAGTTCTAGCTATGAGATAGAAATTAGCTGGAGACACATTACCAGGTAGAGCAAAGGAAGAACTGAGAAAGAAAAGAAGAAATAGTAAAGTGCTCACATTGCCCAAAAGGAGAAAAGATTCTTGACCGGGAAAGGTCAGCCCTGGCAAGAGAAGGGAGAAGTGCTCTGGCTTTAAGTTTTCACTGCTGGAGGCCAGGGGTAAAAAAGGGAGAGAGAGAGAGCACATGCCTAAATCTGCATTCTTCTGGCCTATTAGGTCCCAATCAGAATTCCCGCTTTCCAGCCCTCTATATAATGTGCAGTAATGATCACTTACTAGCAGGTGATACATTATCAAAAAAAACCACTTAAACTCTCCTAAAGTACTGTTCCACACTAGGAAGGAATATGCTCATAGCTCCCACTAGCCTTCCACAGTTCTACCTGTGTCAGGCATTTGTTCTGAAAGTATACAGGACACATCTTCCTGAGCCCAGGTGATTAGCTCTCTTTCCTATCCTAGGGGTTTTGAACCCTGAGGGAACTTCCAACACTGAAATAAAGACATTTTCAGCAAGTGTCTTGGTCCTGTAATACAGTGCCTGAACCAAAAAATGTCTAGGAAGTTCACAGCATATATGATTTCTGAAATAAACTATGTGTGCTGGAATTCATAATCTCAAATATTATTATTACTATTATTATTATTGCAGTTACTACTAATCAACTCATATGGAATTACAGTATTTTGATATTTAACCAAGGTACATCTGTGTTGGTGTGTACTTGCTGATCATTAAACCTGGGAGGCTCACCTATCTTATACTGACTATGAAAATTATATTCGACTCTATAACGCTGCCTGCCTCTTATCAGGGTTGGACATCATTGTGTAACACGTTATTGAAGGAAAAATTCTCTTGAAGTCTATAAAGCACCATACAAAAAGAGTTTTTTAAAAATGCATATTTTTAACAAAAAATATTCTATATAAACAAAAATGTTCTATAGTTATTAAGAGTTACATGTAAAATGTCACCAGCCAGATTAGGCAAATAAATAAATAAGCAAATAAATAAATAAATAAATCGGGCATTAAAATTTTAGTACAAATTCAGAGCATCAATTAGCAGAATGAACTGAAACTAAATTCCTATCTATTTTCCTATTGGTTGGTCCCAAGGATTTTAATACTTGCAGAATGTAGTATTTGATCTGCAAACAAAAGCATCACAGTACCTTATAATGTCCATTCATCACAGCATCATGTAGGGGAGTGATCTGGTACATTCCTTTGATATTTACATCTGCTCCACCTTTTACTAGTTCACTTGCTGTCTCATAAAATCCCCTTACACTCACTTCATGAAGTGCTGTCCAACCTATTATACAAAAAAAATGTATTTGTTCACATTTGGCATCTTAATAATTTTTTGTGCTTAGCCTTAAAATAAAATAAAAACTCAAATTTTAAGGTGTTTCTTTAAAAAATATTTTAATTATATGAGACAAGATAATCTCACCATGAAAACAACCTGTATTATTTGGTGAATTCAATAAATCTGAGGGAAAAATCAAATTTCTACTCCAAACTCTGTTGTAGAAAAATATGGAAAGAAATAAAATATTTAAAACCATTCTTGCCTTCTTCAAATAAAAAAGCTGTAAGTGGGGGGTCATTATAGCTCATAAAGTAAGCTGGTTACAGGATACTTTTCTGCAGAGAAGAGGGGGACAATAGCTTTATTTCTAATTCAAGGTATTTCCATTAAAGTAACCCAACTGACAGAACTACATAGAATCATCTCTTTCTCCTTATTTGCAGAAAGCTATTTACAATTTAACAATCTTCAAACTGCTCCAAGAAAATGAGTCACCCAGATAAATATTCTTTTTCTTTGTTAGATAGGGACAATGGTAAAAGTTATAGATATTTATTAAATTCCAATAAATCATATGATTGATGTAAGAAAACCTGAAAGCCGCCATATTAAAAGTATACTTAACTCTTTTCAGAACCTTCTCTATAAACGAGGGTTTCTCAATTTCTGCACTAACATTTTGGACTGGATAATTTTTATTGTTCTAAGCATTCTATCAAATGCCAGTAGCAACTCCCTTTCCCAGTTGTAACAGTTAAAAATGTTTCCAGGAACTGCCAAATGTCACCTGAGAGGCAAAATCACCCAGTCAAGAACCATAGCCATAAAATGTTACAGGAAGAATTTCTCTTATAATATTAAATAGAAAGCCTAGAGGAAAAAATAAAGGGCACCAAAAATGGTAGATACATAGTTAATAGAGATTTTTTCTATAAATTTCCTTAAAATGCACATGGCTATTTAAAACAATTGATAAGTAATATTGGTCTACAATCATAACACTATATTTTGGGATTTATAATGTACATAAATATATGTGACAGCTATCGCACAAAGGATAAGGGAAATATGTTCACTGTTCATACATTTTATAAGAAGTATTACAATATTAACTCTAAAAAGACTGTAAAACATTAAAGATATATATTGTAATTCCTACACTATCCACCACAAAATAACGCAAACAAGGAAACAAAAAATACAGAGGAAGCTCAAAAGGAACAATTAGTAAAATGGTAATCCTAAATCTGACTATTTATATTATATGAAAATAGACTAGTCAGCCTAATTAAAAGGCAGAGATTGCCCTGGCTGATGTGGCTCAATTGGTTGGGTGTCATCCCGTAAACCAAAAGGTCATGGGTTTGATTTCCAGTCAGGGTACATGCCTGGGTTGTGGGTTTGGTCCCTGGTCAGGGTGCATATGAGAGGCAAGCAAGCAATGTTTCTCTTTGAAATGGATATTTCTCTCCCTCTCTCTCTCCTTCCCCTCCCCTCTCTTGAAAATCAATAACCATATTCTTGGGTGAAGAAAAAAAAATAAAAAACAAAAATAAAATTAAGAAAGGCAGAGATTGTCAGAATGGATAAAGTAACAAAACACAAGAAATATATTTTAAATATAAAGACATAGGTTGAAAATAAAAGATTAAAAAAAGACATAGCAAATAGAAAAGAAACATAAGAAGACTACAATGTATATATTAACATATATTAACTATAAATTTACAATGTATGTATTAACATATAAAGACCTTAAGACAAAGTGTATGTATTACCAGATATAAAGAGAGATTATTTCGTAAAGATTAAAAGGTCAATTTATCATAAGATATAATGATTATAACTATGTATGTACTTAATAACAGAGATTCAAAATATTAGAAGCAAAATTTGACAAAATTAAAGGGAGAAATAGACAAGTCCACAATCATAGCTGTGAACATTTCAATACCTCTCTCAGGAAATGATAGGTCAACTAGACAAAACATCAGTAAAGACAGGATGTTCTGAACATTACCAGCCACCTTCATCTTACTGACATTTATAGAATATCACATACAACTAAATAACACACATTCAAGTGCACAGGGTTATTCACCAAGAAAAACCATACACTAAATGATAAACCAATTCTCAGTAAGTATAAAAGGATCAAATTCATAGAAAGTGTATCCTTTGACCATAATGGGATTAAATTAGAAATCAGTAACAGAAAAATATATGAACAATCCTCAAATATTTAAAAATTAAACAACTTCTAATATAATCCTGGGGTCAAAGAAGGTACTCATGCAAGAAGTGAAAAGAATTTCAAACTGAATGATAATGAAAATTCAATATATCAAAATTTGTGGGATGCAGCAAAAACAGTATTTAGAGGAAAACTTAAAGCTTTAAATGCTTATAGAAGGAAAAAAGGTATAAAAATTTGTAGCCTCATTTTCAGCCTTAAGAAAGTAGAAAAAGAACAAAGAAAACCAAAAATAAATAAAAGTCTGAAAAAGAGTAGAAATGAAATACAAAACAGGTAATAGAGAAATTGATAATCCTCTAGGAAGGATGGAAGAAAAAGAGAAGAAGGAAGGGAGGAAGGAAGGGAGGGAATGGAGGAAGGGAGGGGGGAGAAAATAAAAATATAAGGAATAACAGATAAAATATTCCTAAATTTTTTCAGATATTAAAAGGATTACAGGAGACTATTATAAATAAAACTTTATAAATAAATTGTATAACTGAGATGGGAAGGACAAATTCCTTTATAAGTACAACTTACCTAAACTGAAATAGAAAACTGAATAGCCCACACCTATTCACCTATTAAAGAATTTTAATTTATTATCAAATCTTCCCACAAAGGAAACTACAAGCCCAGATAGTTTTACTCAAGTTCTGTCAAACATTTAGGGAAGAAAAAAAGCTCAACCTCATATAAATTAGAAGTGAGAATACTACTTAACCCATTTTATGAGGTCTGAAAAACCCTGATACCAAAACCAAAAACATTACAAGAAAATTATAGACCAATATTACTTATCAACATTGACACAAAATATCTTTAACATAGTATTATTAGCAAATTGAATCTAACAATATATTTAAAAAAATCATGATCAAGCATTCATTCCTCATAAAAACTCTCAGCAAATTAGAAATATATTCCTCAATATAAACAGCAGCTACAAAAACCTACAGCTAACACCATGCTCATTACTAAATATTAAAGAGGCAAAACTAATCTAGGGTGAATAATATTTGAACAGTAGCAGCTTCCAGAGAGCAGGTGTGGGGAAAAATTGGGAAGAGATATGAGGGACTTTTGTAGAATTGTGGTAATATTCTATCTCTTAATCAAGGTTTGGGTTACACAGGTGAATGTTGTATGTCAAAATTCATCAAATGGCACATTTAAGAATTGGCATTTTACTGTATGAAACTTTTACCTCAAAGGAAAAAACTAGCGAACTCTAGTTAATGGCATGTATGCTGACTTATTTAGTGGTAAAATATACTGATCTCTATACTTTGAAATATGTCAACATAAAGATGGTTTATAGATGGATAGGTGTAAAATAATAAGAATGAATTGGCCTCTACCTCGTGGTTTCTGACACAGAGCTCCTAAAACTCTTGTAAATAGGGGTACGAGGAGAATATTTTGTTCTAACATTTAGCCTTTGACCCCAGTTCTTGATACAGAACCCCCAAGACCTTTGTAATTTCCTGAGTGATAGGAGCCTCTCACACAGAGCTCCTGAACTGCTTGGAATTTCCTGGGTGATAAAAGTGTCTTTTGTTATAATGAGGCAACTTTTGGCAAACTCCTGGATGGGAGCTGGTCACCAGAAGACCAAGCCATGATGAGAAACTTGGAACTTTTGGCTCCCCCTCCCACCCTAATTCTTTGGAGAAGAGGGAGAGGCTGAAAATGAATTTCATAACTGATCATGCCTACATGATGAATCCTCTATAAAATTCCCAAAAGTATGTGGTTTGCAAAGCTTTTCCAGGCTGGTACACACATCTATTTGCTGAGAGGGTGGCATACCCCACATTCCATGGGCATAGAAATTGAACAGAAGTTGTGGGTAATCCGGGGACCTACTACTTGCAATTGGCATTTAAGTGGGAGGCAGTTTTGTGGGACTGAGCCCTTAACCTGAAGGGTCTGCACTAATGTAGGTTAGTGTCCGAATTGAACTGAACTGCAGATACTTGGTTGGTGTCAGAGAACTGCTTAATGGATTGAAAACCCATACATCTGGTGTCAGAAGTACTGTGAGTGTGAGTAGCAGGAAAATATGAGAGTGTTTTTCCTTTACAATAAGTATATGGAAAACATGTGAGTGTTTTTCCTTTACAATAACTATGTGATATGTAGAATCTAGGTATTACGTATATAGAAGTTTACTGTACAGCTCTTTCAACTTTTCTTTATGTTTGAAATTTTTCACATTTTCATAAAAATATTTAAATAAACAGCTCTCACATGAACTTTTGGAATATATCCATTTAAGAACTACCTGTTTTTTAAAAATATATATATATAAAACTATCTCCCCCAAAGTACTGTTTCTGATAAAAAATGTGAACTCATTGGTGTTTTGTATTAAGACCTGTAGACACTGGAAATTTGCTTACTGATGTGTACCCTGATTAACTCGATTATCTGCCATAGGTCAAGGCTGGCTGGATGAAAAATGGAGTATCAGAAATCCAAAAGTTATTAACTTTAGAATGCAGATGATGATCTTCCTTTTAGAAACCTCATTTCCTCATTTAGCTTTCCTTAAACTACAATAAAAATTGGTTTCCTCTGTGGCTGTCTTCTTCAGTTGTTAATCTAGTCACTCTGCACTCAGCAGTCAGGCTTAGACAGCACAGGGTAGGGCAGAGTCCCTCCTGGGGGCGGGGGGGTTATTGGGTCCTCTCACACTGCTGCTGCTCAGGGGAGTGGTCAGACTGAGCCTAAAACTCCTTAGATTTTACATATTGATTTTTAACTCACCTGAAATTTTTTTGTATAATGTGTGAAATAGGGCTCTATATTTGTTTTATTTCAAGTAACAGTGGTCCATGCACCTTATTTGTTGAATAACATTTATTTTCCCCATTGATTTAAAATATCAATTTAATCATATATTGTTAGATATATACATTTGTTTCTAGAATGCTCATTTTATTTCTTGATTATTTCTGTGCTGGTGTCATGTTGTTTTAATTGGTGAGACTTTATAGTGGATTTAAACTTTTTAATATTTTATAATGGATTTTGACATTATAAATAAATAAATAAAATCTGCATTTAAAAAAAAAGAAAGAAGGAATTCCTACCTTTTATGACAACATGGAGAATATTATGCTAAATGAAATAAGCCAGTCAGTGAAAGACAAATACTATATGATCTCCTATAAGGTATTATGATCTTCCACCCATAAGTGGAATCTATTCAACAAAATTAACTAATGAACAAAATAAACCACAGGCATGGAAACATGGAGCAGGCTGCAAGTGACCAGAGAAGATGGGGAAGGGGGACAATGGTGAAGAGAAGGGGAAGGGACTAGACAAAGAACATGTATAAATGACCCATGGACATGGACAACAGTGTGGGAATTGACTGTGGGAGTGGGGTGGGGGATGGGATGGGTGGAGGAGGGCAAAGTGGGAAAAATTGAGACAACTGTAATAGAATAAACATGATTTAAAAATAAATAAGTAAATAAATTCAAATTTTAAAACAAATGGTTTCCTAAAGGGAACAAAAAGGCTGCTATAGAAATGAAAAAATAACTATAACAAAAGATTAGTTTGTTTTCCTTGAGCCCAGACTGACAAAAAGATAAGGTAAATGTAAAACAATTGTTTGGTTTCCATGGAAAAGCCAACCTCTGATTTTAAATTTACTAAAAAAAATTCCCCAAGAAGACAACGTGCATGTGAGTGATTCAGAATAAATGATGGAACCTGAAGGGAAGGGACAGTTAAAAGTGAATGTTACTCCTGCCCTGGCCAGGTGGCTCAGTTGGTTGGAGCATCATCCTGTTCACTAAAAGTAAGAGGGTTCGATCCCTGGTCAGGGCACATACCCAGGTAGTGGGTTCGATACCCAGTTGGAGCACGTCAGAAGGCAGCCAATCAATGTTTCTCACAGTAATGTTTCTCTCTCTCTCTCTTTTAAAAAAAATCAATAAGCATATCCTTGAAGGAGGATTAAAAAAAAAGAGAGAGAGTTCTACTTTAAGTATGACCTAAGCGAGAAAGATCCAGTGATGAATGGTCTCAGGGCTGAAAGAAATTCTCAGTCATCAATAAACCCAGAACAACCTTTATTCTGTAGAGAGGGCCACTGTAGACCATAGAAAGAGCTACATATTGCAGAAACAAATCAAATTTAACCAAGAATTTCCCTTTCCCTAGAGTTATTCCTTCTGTGATGTAAAACCATGCCTACAAAATAAAGGTAGAGTATAACTTACAACAGATCTTTTATTAACTCCTGAATCTGCAGGTTGGAAGATCCTTAAGTAACGTATTTTTTCTTTTTAAACATTTAACCATTTTGGAGGAAATCTCTTTAAAGCTTTATAGGATTATAAATTTCCCATAAAGGGAATATAATTTAACACATGTTTAATAAAGATTCAAGATCATAATGTTAGTTTTATGTTCTAAAGCAGCAACTGCTAACACCCACAGAGGTAGGAAGAACACTTCTTCCCAACTGTATAGTCCTCAACAATTTTACCTCTCATTTTTTGTTTTTATCTGTCACTTGCCTTGATGCTGGCTTAAATTTCTTACTGTCATCAATATCCTGATCCATGCCAAACTTTGTTTTCAGTTCTAATGTGTCACAGGCATAGGAATCAGAATGCCATATAAAATAATGCTCAAGACACTTGTCTGAGAGGTTTTAGCAAAGAAGCTTTACGAGATCTATGTTGGGCATTCAGAGTTTTTTTCAGTCTACTTGCTGGTTATCATCATTGCTTTTGATAGGTAAAAAATTATTCCAATTGATTTTTAAAACCAAAGATATTAATAATGTATATGAGGACTTATAAAATGTAAATGGTACCTATGAAAAGACCATTGGTCTGTTACTGTACATTTTGTAATTTCTTAAAAGGCACATAAGCCTTTTTCAGATTGCATCACAAAATACATTTAAGGCTTTCTAGTAGATATTATTTATATTTGTTTTCATAGCAACTGGCACATAGGAGGCACACTGGGAAAGTTCGCAACATTGAACTGATATGTTATGTGGAGGCCATACACCTCTTACCAGTAGTTCTTGAGCTTTAATGAGAATAAAAATCACCTAGGAGAACTTGTTAAAAATTCAGATTTCCACACTTTAACCTATAGATTTTTACTGAGTGAGTGTATGTGTGTGTATATTTTGGGGTGGAAGTAAAGACCGTATTTTAAACAAAACATTGCAAGTGACTGATGAAAATGGTTTGTAGACAGCCCTTTGGAAACACTGCTCTCTGCAACCTGTGGGATGTAGTAGCCAGAAGTATAAAGATCAGAGCTAAGATGCAAAGAGAGAAGGAAAGTAGAAAACAAGAAAATTCATTGGAGGGATAAATGGTAATAGGAAAAAATACAATAAAAAAATAAAATAGAAAATTAAAAAAAAATTCTTTATAAACTTAAAAAAAAAACAAGAGAGTTTGAAAAACCTGGAGAATATGGGAAGGATAAAGAATTCATGAAGGTCACAGAAGTACCTGTGAGGAAAAGCTGTACATCAACTGGCTGAAGACAAACAGGGAACAGCCACCAAGTATGTTAGCAATAGCATAGAAAAAAAGGTGGAGGGCTAATGAAAAGACACAGGTCAAAAGATGCTTCAGAAACCCACAAAGCCCAGTCAGCTGAAGGTAGAGCTACTCCTGAATGTAAGGGGCAGATAGATACTAACAAAAAGAACCACATATATCTCAAAATCAAGGGAATAAGTGCTCTACCTAGCAAATAAGGATCAAAGATTGAGGGTAATAGGAAGATGGCGGTTGATCTCGATATTAGGTTGGAAATTACAGCCTGTTAAGACCTGATTACAGTAGAAACCCAGACCTTGCTAAAATTAAGTACTGAGGGTGCACTAGTAATCATCTGCTTGTCATTGGACTGTGCTATTGCTCTTGGCATACCATACATAGACTTTTTGCACTGTTTCATAAACTGAGGAAGTCTAGACACATTAGTAAAAGTATGGACACAGAAAAGCCCTATCCAGTCTGGCTCAGTGCAGCTCAGTTACTTAAATCCTTTAAAAGAATCATTCATCTCCAGGAGAACATGTCAGGTTCTTCCCACAAAGAAGACTGTACCAGAGATACGACAGAGACTCTTCTCTCTGAGTTCCCTGCCCTTCTCTCTCCACCTCATACTCTCTCCTCTCCACTCCCTTGGCCACTGCTACTTCTATCATCTACCATTTTTTCATCAATATTCCCCAAGTTCAATGTATCAGTAGCTTCTTTCAGCTTTTGACCTCATTTCTCTTCCACTCAAAGTTGAGGTGCCCAGGGCAAAGGGAGCAAGCCAACCTCAGGAACCCCATTCTCCTGTGTAATGCCACTGCACATAGCCCACAGGCAGGCATATTCACTGAAAGTAAAATATAATGCTCTTCTCTTGCTCCCCCTGCCCCTTACCTTTTCCCTGGGAGATGATGGTGAAGAGCTACCTGTGCAGGAAAAATGCCTGGAAGCTTTGTGTTTGAGACTTGCCTTAGGCCCAGTTTGCCGTACTTTCATTGGAATGGCTCTTCTAAACAAATCACTTTCAAGATAACTGTGGGTGGTAACCCCAACTTACCAGCATAACTTGGTTGATTAACATTTCCTCCTTTTTCAATACAATAATGAACAAGATGAGTGTCGTTGTGCAGGGCAGCCTTATACAGTAGGTTCTCTCCAAAAATGTTTCTCCGGTTAATGAGAGAAAGAGATATTTTATTCATCTTCATTTTTTCTGAAATGAGGGAAGGAACAAAAGAAAGTAATCCTTATTTGAAAATCAGGACGAATACTGGTAACAGGGTGAATCCAGTCAACATTCCAGAATAGAGGTACACCATATTATGAAAGAGTATTTTATCCATTGACCCAACCACAATAACTACATGCAAAAAGGTAAAAGAGGCAACTCCTATTAGTTTGAAAATATTTGTAGAAGTTATAAACCTCCTAAGCAATTTATGTTGACTGAAACCCCATGAAACATGCATATATTAAAAGATTAATAGATTATTTTCTTAAAAATTCTTGTGAAAAAGATTATTTAAACCTAGAATTAAATGCCATTAAACCCAACAAAATGTTATATAATACCATTATAGAACACCAAAATGTCTTATAAAAGACATGAAAAGAAAATCTAAAAGGTACATGAGGAAAATACAAAAATTAACTACAATGAGACCAGAAAAGAGAATGCTAAATTTTCTTTCTTTGCTAAAAATAACTGTCATTAAATTGAAGAACTATGATCTTGATCTGTACAATAGTTCTGATCTCCCAAGCCAAGAAATAGTTTACCAGGTTATGTATATCAGGTATCATTTTCCACTGTGCTTCCTAAAATACTGAAACTCCTCATTTAGATACTCTAAATCCTGTCAATTTTTGTGGGTAATATTCATTTGGTTTCCTTGAATTTCAGAGTAGCTTTGATGATAGCTTTTCCCATTTTGATTTAGTTAACCTGCCCCATCCTAAAACTTCACAAAGGTAATTGAGTACTGCAGCAGGTTTCTTAGTAGATCACAATTTGCCTTTTATTTGAATCCTTCCACTCAGTTCCACTGTAAATCAAACTAACTGCTGAACATTTGAGCTTACCTTCCTCCATCCCAAACTACAAAGCATTTTGATCCCATCAGATAAACGGTATGCTTACCAAAAATCAGTAGTTTAACTCTTCAGTCTGTCTTTGCTAGTTGTACTTGTTATTACAATTATGTAATTTATTTAAAATAATTTTTTGCCTGTTGAATATGATGCTGGCAGTGGGTTTGTCATATATGGCCTTTATTATATTCAGGTATGTTCCCTCTAACCCCACATTGCTGAGAGTTTTTATCATACATGGGTACTGGGTTTTATCAAATGCTTTTTCTGCATTTATTCATATGATCATGTGGTTTTTGTCCTTCATTTTGTTTATGTAGTGAATCACATTTATTGATTTGCAAATGTTGTACCAAGCTTGCATTCCAGGAATAAATCCCACTTGATCCTGCGTATGGTCTCTTCTGTTTTTCTAATTTTTTTTTTTGTTGTTTTATTGCAGTTGTTCCAATTTTCTCCCATTGCTCTCCCCTGTGCCACCCACTTCTCCACTCCCACAGTCAATTCCCATCCTGCTGTCCATGTCCATGGGCCATTTATACTTGTTCTTTAATTAGGCCCTTCCCTTTCTTTCCTCCCTTATCCACCTCTCCTCTCCCTCTGATCCCTGTCAGTTTGTTCCTTGTTTCTATTCCTCTGGTAATACATTGCTTGCTTCTTTGTTTTGTTGATCAGGTTCCACTTAAAGGTGAGATCATGTGGTATTTGTCATTCACTGCCTGGCTTATTTAATTTAGCATAATGCTCTCCAGTTCCATCCATGCTTTCCTAAAAGGTAGGAGTTCCTTCTTTATTTTTGCTGCATAGTATTCCATTGTGTAAATACACCACAGTTTTTTGATCTTCTCCTTTACTGATGGGCACTTAGGTTGTTTCCACTACTTGGCTATTATAAATAACACTGCTATGAATATAGAGGTGCATATATTTTTGAATTGGTGTTTCAGGATTCTTAGAGTATAATACCAGCAGTGGAAATGCTGTATCAAAAGTTCCTTTTTTAGTTTTTTGAGGAAATTCCACGCTATTCTCCACAGTGGCCACACCAGTCTGCATTCCCAACAATAGTGTACTAGGGATCCCTTTTCTCCACATCTTCACCAGCACTTGTTTGTTGATTTGTTCATGAGGGCCATTCTGACAAGTGTGAAGTGGTATCTCACTGTGGTTTTAATTTGCATCTTGCTGATAGCTAGTGATGCTGAGCATCCTTTCATATGTCTCTGGGCCCTCTGTATGTCTTCTTTGGAGAATTGCCTGTTCAGGTCCTTTGACCACTTTTTAATTGGATCGTTTGTCTTCCTGGCATTGAGTCATATGAGTTCTTTACATATCCTGGAGATCAAACCATTGTCCGAGGTATGGCTGGCAAATATGTTATCCCATATGGTTGGTTCCCTTTCATTTTGATATTTTCTTTAGCCCTGCAGAAGCTTTTTAATTTGATGTAATCCTATTAGTTTATTTTTTCCTTTATTTCCCTTGCCCTAGAAGATGTATCAGTGAAAATATTGCTGCATGGGATATCCGAAATTTTATTACTTATGTTTTCTTCTAGGACTTTTATGGTGTTGTAGCTTATGTTTAAGTCTTTTATCTATTTTGAGTTTATCCTGGTGTACAGTGTAAGTTGGTGGTCTAGTTTCATTTTTTTTTCCACATGTACCATTCCAGATCTCCCAGTGCCATTTGTTGAAGACGCTATTTTTACTCCATTTTATGTTTCTGCCCCCTTTATCAAATATTAATTGACCAAAGAGAAATGGGTTTATTTCTGGGCTCTCTGTTCTGTTCCACTGATCCATGTGTCTGTTCTTATGCTGGTACCAGACTGTTTTGATTACAGTGGCTTTGTAGTATAGTTTGATATCAGGTATGGTGATTCCTCCTACTTTGTTCTTCTTTCTCAAGATTGCTATGGCTATTCTGGGTCATTTTTGGTTCCATATAAATTATTGAAATATTTGTTCTAAATATGTGAAATATATCATCAGCTTTTTAAATAGGCATTGTGTTGAATCTATAGATTGTTTTGGGTAGTATGGACATTTTCATGAGGTTGATTCCTACAACCCATGAATATCATATATGCTTTCATTTGTTTATATCTTCCTTGACTTCTTCAGTGTTCTGTAGTTTTCTGAGTACAGGTCTTTCACCTCTTTGGTTAAGTTTTTTCCTAGGTATTTTATTTTTCTTGTTGCTATAGTAAATGGGATTTTTTCTAGTTTCTGTTTCTGATATTTCATTGTTGGTGTACAAAAATGCCTTCTATTTCTGAATATTGACTTTGTATCCTGCTATTTTGCCAAATTCATTTATTAGGTCAAGTAGTTTTTTGGTAGAGCCTATAGGGTTTTCTATGTACACTATCATGTCGTCTGCAAATAATGACAGTTTTACTTCCTCCTTTCCAATTTGGAGGCCTTTTATTTATTTTTCTTGTCTGATTGGTGTGGCTAGGACTTCCAATACTATTTTGAATAGAATTGGTGAAAGCGGAGATCCTTGTCTTGTTCCTGATCTTAGGGGAAAGCTTTTAGTTTTTGCCCACTGAGTATAATGTTAGCTATAGGTTTCTCATATATGGTCTTTGCTACGTTGAGGTATCCTCCCTCTATTCCCACTTTGCTGAACGTTTTAGTCATAGTGGGTGCTGTACTTTATCAAATGTTTCTTCTGCATCTATTAATTTGATCATGTGGTTTTTATCTTTCATTTTGTTTATCTGGTGTATTACATTTATTGACTGGTGAATATTATACCATTCTTGCATCCCTGGGAAGAATCCCACTTGATTATGGTGTATTATCTTTTTAATGTATCGCTGCATCCAGTTTGCCAATATTTTGTTGAGGATTTTAGCATCTATGTTCATCAGCAATATTAACTTGCAGTTTTCTTTGTTGTGTCATTACCTGGTTTTGGAATTAGGATAGCACTAGCCTCATAAAAAGAGTGAGGGAGTCTTCCTTCTTCTTGAATTTTTTAGAAGAGTTTGAAAAGGATAGGGGTTAGCTCTTTCTTAAATGTTTGGTAAAGTTCTCCTGTGAAGCCAGCCAGCCCAGGGCTTTTGAGTGCCAGGAGTTTTTCAATTACTGCTTCAATTTCAATAGCTGTTATCAGTCTATTCAGGTTTTCCGCTTCTTCTTGACTCAGTTTTAGAGGATAATATGTTTCTAGAAATTTGTCCATTTCACCCAGGTTTTCAAATTTCTTGGCATATAGTTGTTTGTAGTAATTTCTTACAATCCTTTGTATTTCGGTGGCATCAGTTGTAATTTTGCCTCTTTTGTTTCTGATTTTTTGTGTGTCCTCTCTTTCTCTTTTTTATGAGTCTGGTTAAAGGCTTGTTGATTTTGTTTATCTCTTCAAAGAACCAGCTCCTGGATTTACTGATCCTTTGAATTGTTCTTTTCATCTCTATGTTATTTAATTCTGCTCTGATCTTGATTATTTCCTTCCTTCTACTTGCTCTAGTGTTGTTTGTTGTTGTTCCTCTAGTTCTGGCAGACATATGGTTACATTGTTTATCTGAAATGTTTCTATCTTTTTAAAGTAGGCCTACATTGCTATAAACTTCCCTCTCAGAACTGCCTTTGCTGTGTCCCATAAGTTTTCAACTGTTGTGTGTCATTTTCATTTGTTTTCCAAAAACTTCTTGATTTCTTTCTTGATCTCATTGTTAACCCATTCATTATTTAACAGCATGTTATTCAGTCTCAATGAATTTGAATGTTTTTGAGTTTTTTCCTTGAGGTTGGTTTCTAGTTTCAAGCCATTGTGATTCAAGAAGATGCTTGATATGATTTCAATTTTCTTGAGTTTGTTGAGGCTTATTTTGTGACCTATTATGGGGTCTACCTTTGAAAATATTCCATGTGCATTTGAAAAGAATGTATATGTTCCTTCTTTGGAGTGAAAGGTTTTGTATATATGAATTAAGTCAATTTGACCTAGAGTGTTGTTCAATGACACAATATCCTTGTTGATTCTTTGCTTGGAAGATCTATCCATTGTTGACAATGGGGTCTTAAAATCCCCTGCAATGAGTGTATTCCTATTAATATCTTTCTTGAATTCCTCCAAGATTTTCCTTATATATTTGGGTGCTCCTATGTT